GCTAACCACAGCAGAGCCTGGGTCAATACCAAGATGGGAGACCTCCAAGGAAAGGCAGTTTGATGCTCTAAGAGGTGTTGGTGGACCAGTAAGTGGAGCTCTTCACTCTAGAACAGAACATCTAAACCAATATCCCAAAATAAAGCCTAGAGACACCCTGATAGAGGAGCACCACTGTTGGCACAAATTCTACCGGTGAGACATTAAACCAAATTCCTGACTCCTTGGTCATTACAGTACCCATGGCACTTTTTACAACAGTAGGGATGTTAACCCCAGTGTTCTGGCTCAATTCTACCCCGGACTTGTACAATCTGGTACCCCTGAAGTACCCCCTTAATTCAATATGGCACCCCCTCAAATTCAACTGGCCAAGAAATTTCTCTGTCCTCCCACTGATCTGTTCTGTATAGAAGCTGCTGTGTGACATGTTGGACCTGCTTTTCATTCATTTCATTCATTTTGGACTGAAGATAAAATACATTTGTTTTAAACTAATTCAGTTCGGTTAAAGAATATTAGGGAGAAATCTCTCACTCTCTGTACGTCACTCAGGTGGGAAGATGTCTCTCAGGGGTGGGTGAGGTGGGCTCTACCTTTTATACATAACACACTTCAGGATCACGTGCAATGAAAAGTGCTACATAAATGTAAGTAATTATTAAAAACATGTTGAAACAGGTAATTATGAAAGATTCACCATTATAATTGATGGGAATTGCAAAATGTGTATATTTGTCTGTGTTCTATGACTCTGCAACAACTAACCTCCCTCACATGCTATCCTGAGGAAAAGGCCTCTCCCACACAGTAATGCCTTCCCATAATCTCCTCTGAGCTTCCGAACACTTAAATTGCTCTGGAGGTTATCGGGGAAGGCAAGCCTATAAGAGAGATACAGGTACTAACTGTGGAATACTGGAAAACACAATTTAAGCCTTTCAGATCCACAGAGGCACACCAATCCTCTTAGTGGGGACCATTCTTATAAACCAGAATACACAACTGAAGAGCAGTGGCCAACAGCAGGATTAGAAGAGAGTCAGGTAACCCACGATTCTCAAGACCAACCCTGCACAGCAGAATTATTTACTATGTATGCAAAGAGAGTGCCATTAATAGCTCTCCTCTTCAGGAAAGTGCAGAGGATTTCTAACACAATCAAGAGAGCAGGGTGGGTCAGCTCTCCAGCCCAGAAGGATTAGCTCAGCAGGCTGTTCTACCTCCTGTACTGGAGATAAAAAACTCTGCAGACAATATCCACTGCTATCCAGATAATGTCTGCAAAATTGACTGTGATTTAAGAAGCTTCGCTGTATTAAGTATTGTTTCTTGGTTCACACTGCCCCCTAAAGGATATTACAGCCTACTGAACTTTTAGACTATTTTCTGGTTTAGCTAACTTTAGATTCCTGCTCCAGACGTATTCCTAAAAACAGCACATACCAAAACTCACAGCATCCTGCTTTGATACACTGCATCTTCTGTATGGTGCACCATCACAGGAGCTGAAGTCCTGAATGTGAATGTTAACTAGGTGCTATTCCTTACTCAGGTACATTCAGAGCCCTTTGCTATTAGAAGGCAGGAAATTTGACGTCCGTTCCTACTTCCTCATCGCCTGCCTGACCCCGTACATGGTGTTCTTTCGCCATGGTTACGTCAGGCTCACCTGTGACCCTTATGACCCCAGCTCAGATGACCTGTCAGCTCACTTGACCAATCAGGTAGGCTCTCCGTATTTTTAGATTCACAACTGTATTAACTGCCGAATACATTTCTTTTAAATTTAACATTCTTCCAAACAAGCGGTTGGTTTCTAGTTTTAGTTTTCTGGTCAATAAAAGCAGCACGTGTGAATAA